GGGGGGGGGGGGAAGGAATGTAGCTCAGCCCCCATCCAGCCATGCAGGAGGGGTGAAGAAAGGGGCATAGCCTGTGCCCTCCCACCACATGGTGGGGGGGAAAAAGGGGTGCTGCCAGGCCCCATCTTAAATGCCACATGGGGCTTGGGAATCTGGCAGTAGTGGAGGGTAGCAGTACTTAAAAATCGCCAGTGTTCCTCCCCCCCACCACCAAAATTTCCTGACCCATGGAAAGCCCTGTGGGCCAGATGCCATGGCTTTGCAGGCCAGAAGTTGAGCACCTCCTGATACAGACAGCTGAGGACACGTCTTGATCCAAACAAACACTTATATTGGCTCATTTTGCAAATCACAGAATATTAAAATGATTAAGATTAAGTACAATTTGGAGGGAAAGAAAAGGCAAAGCAATTCAAAGCTGGAACCATATTATCTTATCCTTCTCCCCTAACAGAAAGGGCAAATTGATGACGGGGGAACGGACAGGGAGGGCTATCCTGTTGAATACTTCAGTCCTAAAGCTGGAAATTGATCCACAAATCTGAAAGACTCCCAAAGCTGAAGGAAGTCTACACTGCAAAGGTTAGTTGACTCAGGGCAAGTGTGAAGTATGCAAAGCTCAAAGCCTGTCCTGTCCTGTCCTGTCCCATCTCAAAAAGTGCTACAGCTTTTCCATTTTGGCTTATTCTGACTGAGATTCGTAGCAGGTCTTCTTCATGGCATGGTTAACCCATAATCTTTCCTTAACCTCCGCGATCCACACTGAGAAACCTGTGATCTGAGTCTGGAGGTGCTTTAAGACTACACTAGCTTATCCAGGTGGCAACATAAGTAAAAACTTGCCTGCTCCGTAGCAAAGATGAAGGCAAGACTCGTTTCAGTGTGGAACACCCTCCCATCCATCCAGCTTTTGCCCAAAGAACAGACATTTTCTTCCATAAATGACTGGATTACTGGGCATCCCTTTAAGAACCATGGAACATGCCCCCCAGTGTGAAGTCAGTGAGCAAGCAGACCTTTACTATGGCACGCACAACCAGAGGCGGTTCTGTCCTGAGTGTCAAGCACCTGGGTGAACCATGCAGTAAAGACAGTGTTAGATGACATGTAGGGTGCAGGCAGACATAATACTTAAACTATTTTAACTGCTCTTTTAACCACAAGGATCCAGGTGTACAAGCCACATTTAGAAACGTTTAAATCTCCTGGACCATTTCAAAAGTATATATGGATTATCAAGTATTATTTTGAAACAGTCCTTGAACTGGTTCAGCGTTATGCACACAAGCCAAGCGTCTGTCTGGTCAGTCCTCCAGGTATCTCGCACTGCACTGGTCCTTACCTCTTCCCTCCCCATAATGAACTACTCTGGTACACAGCCAGAGCTTTATTACCCAACTTTTATTGCTTGCACTTGACCCAGTCTGTGCCATCCCAGGCTGATTTGTATTGGGGGTTGGTCAGGGCAGAGGGGGCACCCCTGTTTGAGTTCCCAGGGTGCTGCCTAGTGTTTCTGCACCTTTCAAACAACATTTTCCCCAAGCTGCTTGTGCGTTTCATTCCATTAGTGGCAACTGACCACACTTGGGAGCATCCTGAGCTGATATGGCCTAGGGGTCAGGGGTAGCTAATGGGTAGCAGGGTACCCCTGCTTCTATATTCGAAGAGTGTTACCCAAGGTCACTGCAACTTTTAAGCAGCATTCTTCCCCAAGCCACTGGTCAATTTTATTCCATTCCTGACAACTTATTTGAAGACCTTGGGCAGAACCTAGAAGCAGGGGTATCCCCTCGGTCTCCTGCCTCAGTCCCTACCTAGTCAGCCTATGATGCCCCAAAGTCTGGTTACAGTTACCACAAATGAAATTAAATTGATAAGCAGCTTGGGGCAAAATGCTGTTTAAAAACTGAGGACTTTGCACACATCCCAGAATATCCAGCTACCCAGGAAACAAGAAGCATGGGTCCAGGCACCCTCCCACCTGGCCATCCTTAGGGAAAGTCTTTTTAAGGGAGCCTCAGTAAGAGACCTTGTGCAGCCTGCTGGGAAGGGAGAAACAGGGGTTCAGGTATCCCCCTAACTGGCCAACCCTTCATCCCCAAATCAGCCTGCAATGCACTGAACCCTTGTAAACGTTAGTGAGAAGAGGTATCAGAAAATTGCAACTGTGGGAACTGACATCTTTCTCTTGCTTGACATCCAGCTAATTAGGAGTTTCCTCACCTGCTCAGAGAATATTAGGGAAACTGGGGCACTGGCCACTGGGAGGGAGGGTGGGCTTGGTATTCACTACAGGCCTCTGGTGGCAGTTTGACAGCACTGCAATGCCATGCCTAAAATGTGACTATTCTACTGAGAACTTCTGGCAGTGCAGGCACCTCTACCAAGATGATTGGGAAGTGGTTCCCAATCAGTAATAGTCTTCGAATACTACCAAGTTTTACATCTGTCCACACTTGCAGACACTATAGACTGCCTCTGGGACTTACAAGCACTAGCAAAAATGGAACCTGTAATTCAGTACACCATTGAATACTTACCTGCCAAAAGGTCAACGTGCAAGGTAGAGCTCAGCTGGTTAGATGAGGAACTTTCTGTTTTTGCCAGTTTTGGATAAGTCATGCAAGGAACAGAAGAGTCAAATGCTGCTCAAGAGGCACAGATTTGGGAGAACTATTCTAACTCAACTGCTGCTTAATTTGATACTTACTGATCATGCCTGGTATCAGGTATATTTCGGTCCATTCGTAGTTTGTCACTTTCTACTTGATTAAATTTGTTCCGAGCATATGGGTCCTGACCAGATCGAACCATTGTAGCACTAACATAGGCATCTTGATCGAAATCTTGCCATCGAACTCTTCCTGAAGTGAAAGAAAAAACCTGAAGTTAAAATACAATTAACATAGATTTGAAACAGACTTTAGTTCTCAAACGCTGAAATCAAACTGGTTGCTTTAATGTATAAAAAGTACATAACTTCCTAGTAGCTTATGCTGCAGAATGATCTACTGTATGCTACCCAATGTATTGGTGCTGGACTAGAATTCAGTTATTCAGACTGTAACTCCACTGCAGTATTTGCTAGACCATGCATCAACTCAAGTTAAAAATCTGAACCTAAGTTACCATATGTCCCAATTCACATCTTTAAAAGACAAAAATCTATAAAATTAAGTGGCTGATGATTTAAGCATATATGTATAGGCCAAGAAATGCTTAAAACTGTGTCAGTTTACACTTCAATTAACTTCACACAAGTCACTCAGGTTTAATTTTGCATGGTAGTATCTTTTAAGAAAGAATCTGAATTTCTGTATTCCAGATGCTTGTTCCTTTGGCAGCAAGGGTAGAAGTAAGTTTTTATACGACAAAAGCATTTTTTTAGTAAGACCTAGAAAATATTGCCAAAAGGTAGTGCTACTTGATCACTTTGTTATGGAGGACATGAAGTAGTTGAAACAATTTATACTGTTTAGGTTCCAAGCCAGTAGTTAAACTCTTTTCTTTAGTAAAGAGCATTAAACCATTCAACCATTGGTAACAGTTCTCCTCATCCAAAGAAAAGGACAGTGTTCTTCCTAACAGAAGGAGGTTATTTCAGAATACAATGCTGCTACCCTGCCTACTTGAAGACTAAGCCTACATGACAAAAAGTTTCTCACCTCAGGAAAGAAAACAATCCACACAAGTAAGCACATACCTCTCCTGTCACCTCAGTGGGAAACCTAGTGCACCCACCAGAGGTCTATCGTATGGACATACACAAACCTGCCATTTTGGTAATGGTTTGCCTTCTGGCAGCCAAGAGGAAATGCTCTATGAAAGGGTGTGCCTGAACTCCTAGGTAACCTACCAAAATTGCGATTTTGAGGATTGTTGTGAAATCTGGCACTGCCTGTGAAATCTACGAGGAGGAAAAAAAAAAAAAAAAGAAAAAACTTATGGAAAATAAAATGCTGCCTCCCCAAAGGAAGTCAGCAATCCTTAGGGTGCTGCGGCAGCCCACTAAGGCAGGAAAGAGAGGAGGGAAGGGCTGCCCACTTGAAGAGTTGCTGGCAAGATGGCTACAAGGGCTGCCTGTCACGTGGTCCCACCCCTCTGCACCAATTGGCAATGAGGGGCAGGGGCATATGACAGGCAGCCCTCACAGCCAATCAGCGGTGAGGGATGGGGCCACTGAAGCTACAGACATGTGGGGCCAGTCATGCCTTGCCTGCAAAATGGCTACTGGGCCTGTGTTGTGCCCATGAAATGGGAAGGCACCTTGAATTCAGCAGGTTCCTACTCATATGTGAATCGTCAAGTTTCGCAATCATAGGATCCAATGGATCTCCTACTTTCTGCTCCCCTACCTCCTGCTCAATACCCAAGTGGTCAGGGCACTTACCCAGAAAGCACCTCTGTACTAGGCTTCCCTCACCCTGATGGGCTTGATCCCACCTCCCAGTTCCCAAGAAAAACTGCTGTGGGCTGGGCAGACCAGAACCCAATGCTCTCCTTACTGGGCTATTTAAAATAAATAAATAAATACATAAATAATGTAAAATTACGGTCCATCTTGCTAACTCTCTTGGTCCCATGAATCTCATGTTTCTGGACTAGCTTTAACAGGAGAGATAAAGAATACCCTCAAGCCCTGCCCAGCCTAGTCCATAGCCTGGTGACCAGACACTTCCCTGGGAAGTACAGGATGTTGGCTTGGATCCACCCCTCACCCACAGACTGAGGAAGTCCTACAATGCATTTTCTAAAACTTTAACAACTAAGCTACTGGACAAAAAGGCAAGTGGTCCTACTACCCCTATTCCTCTCAATTTAAATAACTTAACACTTAGAGAAAGACATGATGCAAAAATAAACACATTAACCATTTTCCAGGGGTCTCAGCAAGGTGGAATAGGATTATACTTAGACTGGAAACAGATGTTGCCTTTGTGTCATCATAGACATTTTTATGGCAAAGGCAAAGCAAGCAGACATCCACACAACAAATGTCAAAAATTGTGGTCGTGACAATAGGCGGTATAAATTTGTGACGCTTTTTGCAACAGACAACTAGGTGCTCCTGGGACTTCAGGGGGCCTATCCTGTGCACTCCAAGAATCCCCCTGTAGGACTGGGCCCCTGAAGCCCTCAGAGCACCTGCCTGGGTTTCCTCGTGTGCATGACAAAAGAATTCCTTGGCCTGTGTGTGGCATAGCACTGCCATGCCCTGAGCTGGGACGATGGGCAACATTTGTATTCCTTAATGAGGCAGATCAGCTGTGCTAGGTTACATCCTGCTCCAAAGACTACATCTGTTTATAACCTCAGTGACTGAGATGCCTGAAAGCTCCATAAGTACCACTTCAATGTCAGAAATGGAACAAAATCTGGGTCCAAAAGTTTTGCTTTCATCTAGGAAAAAATATAAAAAGATGTCCATAGCACAGATTAATTTAGAATTAAGAGCTATATGACTATTGACAAGAAACCCACTTCAAAACTGTAGAGGATTAAAAAACTTCAAAACCACTGGAGCCCAAATACTGCATTTTCCAACAACTAAGTACTGTTCTCGCCCCACAGCAAAGTGGAAGTGCTCATGGAACTACATTAAACAAGTGCCACAAAATAAGGCATTATGTCATTAAACACGTAATGAACAGATAGAAAAAATGACCTCTTCATGGGGGAAGGAAGAGGTCACTGTTTTATGGACAAAATGTTCATAAGAAGAGTGATGTTTCACAATGAGATTTCAAAAGCAACAAGGTATTTTGAACAAGTTCAGTAAGTGGCAGATTACCAGAGATACTGGCATTTTCTTGGAGCACTGCATGTAGCCCAACTAAAGCTCTTAGGTGAGTAATGTGTCTAACTTCAGATATTTTACGCACATCCTGCTGCTTTGTATCAAAAAGGTGTGCGATTATAAGAGCTATCCATTAGAATTTTTAAAACGCACAAGTCAGAAGTTGGTCAGACATTTCAAGCATCCCTTTGCTACTGCTGCCAACCAGCACAGCATGCCAACTGAGTTACGGCTGGTTAATGACATTACAGCCAAGTAGAATTTCACTTCAAATGTATTTGAACTTCTGCTGGGAAATAACAGAGTCTGATGCCAAGGTGATGATTATGTTACAAAACCAGACTGAACCAGCTGTCTTCTATTTACTAAAAAAGAAAATGAGCAAGTTGAGATTCTCTACAATCTCAGAGAAGCCCAAGGCGCTGACCTGTGAAATCAGCTCTGACCAAGGCTACAAGATTGCTTATAATACTGGTAAAAGGCACATGAGCCATGACAAAAGTGTTTTAGAACTCACTGATAGCTGGTTGAGCTGCAAATACCAAAGCAATGATGCATGGATCTGTAATTTGGATTACAATTTTAAGAGCTATCCAATCACTTCTAATTGAATACCTACTGATACAAAATGAGTTACCCATACAAAAGATTAAGAAAGTGTGGCTACATCTACACGAGATGCTCACTGTGCAGTAGCATCGCCAGGCATGAACTGTGGTACGATGGTACTGCACAGTACTCATGAACTACTGCGCAGTCATTAGTACTTGGTTATGCAAGTACTAAATGACTGCTACAAGACTCGAGACATCTTTGCACATGATTGTTTGCAATTATCTATAGCTGTGACTCGGAACAAGTTGTTGCTTGCATCAAATCACTCTACACTTTATACATTTGACAGTTTTTAATACATACTATAGTATGAATTTTCCAAATGTTAATTTTTATGGGTTAAAAAAAAAGCTGTTAAAACACCACTCTGATAATAGATCAATCCTTCTTGCAAATCTCAGCTTTAAAGACCTGAGGCCACAACTGCAGTATGTATATGCACAATACAGTGATTTAGAAGCAGCAGGAAAGTGCAAATGTTCTCACTAGAACAGTTAATAGTAAGTACCATATTTACCTGAATCCAAGATTATAGGCAGTCCTCGACTCGCAACGTTTCAAGTTACAACATTTCGCACTTACAACTTTTATAAATTGACACCGTTTCAACTTTGAAGTCAGTTTCGACTTTACAACGCTTGATCTGATGCCATGCTATGCCAACGAATATGTTCACTGCATTGCCCATCTCCCTGGAAAACATCTGTCCACGCTTCCTTGGATGTTTCTTTAAGAAAGCAGCCAAAACTCCAGAAAAACCTGCAGCCAAGACTCCTGAGAAGACTCCAGCCAAGAGCCCTTCAAAAAGTCCAGCAAAGCCACCTCAGAGAAGTCCTTCCAAATCAATGTGATTGCTAATTACAATATAAATACATTAATGTAGCTATATTACTCATCTATAATTGATTGAGTACAAAATTCTGGGTTATTTTTGGTGAAAATAGGGTATCAGGCAATCCCACATTTATAACATTGTTTCCTATGGGAAAAATCAGTGCCAAGTTACAACATTTCTACTTAAGACGCAGTTTAAGAACCAACTGTGTTATAAATCCAAGGACTGCCTGTACTTCAAAATTACCATATTTACTTAATTCTAAGGAGAGGTTTTTTTCTCCCTTCCTATATCATGAGGGGAAAAAACCCTTTTCTTATAAACAAGTACGAGAGCAGTGCAGGGTGCAGGTAGCTGCTATGGCTTAGGTTCCAGGCCCTGCCTGGGGTCAGGGCCATAGCCACAGCTGCTACATGCTCCCCACCCCACCTTACTTCTGCACCCAGATATCTCCCTTCTGCAGTCTCTTCCCCTATTCTCCCCTGCTCATGCAGATTCTGCTCCCCCACCTGCCCCTTGCCCTGCCCCCCTTCACCCATGCTCCATCCTGGTAGCCCTGTCCATGCTGCAGACTGGGGAACTGAGTACAGCCCCAGCCGAGGCCTGCAGCAGCAGCC